AAAAAAATGGGGCTCGAGGCTAAAAACTTTTTTTCTCTTTTAAAATTTATAACCATTGTTATTTAAAAAATATTTTTTTTTTTAGAAAAAAAAACCTATTACGTGGTTTCGTCATGCGTTAAATTTTTTTTTTTTTTTAAACAAAAAAACGTGGAAGAAGAACTGTGAACCGGAGTTAAAAATGGATTAAATTCAATTAAATCGAAATTTTTAATGTTAAGGCTGAAGTTGCGAACGTGGAAATAGAAGGCGCAAAGAAATGTAGGGAAATTTGTCAATGTGTTGACGTATTCGTAAAATTGCGAAAAAAAACGCGTCGTAACAGAATAAAAAAAAAAAAAATTCTCAGATGTAACAAACTAAAACGACTTCATAGAGTAAATAAAAAATTAAAACGCACGTGCGGGTAGCCAACCTTTTTTTTCACTTTCGTTCAAAATTTTTTCTAGAAGATTCTTCTCACGCTTAATTAATATTTTCACGCCCACTTAAATTCACACCCGCTATTTCGATACTTAAAAGATTACATCTTTTTCCCCCCCCCCTCCTCATTTCCGCTCTTTGCTACTCTTTTTTAAATAAATGCCGGATTGAAAAAATTATTAAATTTTTTTTAAAGATTCAGACGACCAGTTTGACCTACAGCGAGAGAATTTACCATAAGATTACTGCCACGTTTTTTTTGTTTTTTATTCTATGCTCGTTTCTTTTCGACTTGAAAAAAAAAAAAAAAAAACCCTATATGTGAATTTATGCCAGATTTTTTTGTCGCCGCCGTTTTGCCTTGACATATATTATTATTATTATTATTAATTATTATCGTCGCGGTATAATTTTATTTATTTATTTTTCTGTCGTCGTCGACGACGACGACGACGAGAATTCGTATATAAGCAAAACATTAAATAATAATATTACTCCGAGCTACCGAGTCCGCGTTATTAATGATTACAAAAAAAAATTTTAATTTATTACACGAGTAAGTAATTTTTCTTGTCTTCTGCATAATTTCTTTGACATTTTCTTTTTTAATTTTGTAACGATCGAAACATAATAATAATAATATTATTATTATTAGTTTAAAAACAAAAAAAAAGTTAAGATGGCGCGCGTAATAATAATTTGGGGTGCACTCGACGCAAAGTCAACAACATCAACAACAACAACAACAACAACAACAACAACAACAACAATGATAATCGATTTGTTATGATTATTTTCGCGTGAAAATCTTCTGCTTTATCCCGAGGGTGAAAAGCACGAGGGTGAAAATATGACAAAAAAAAACTTACCCTTGACTTTTAAACATTTGGGTTTGGGTCCGATCCATTTGCTTTTACTGCAAAACATTCTGTCGTTTTTATCATTTTTAAACGAATATCCTTTCACGCATTCGTACGTGGCAAGCAAATACCTGTTGAATGGTTCTTCTTCGTTTCTTTTCCTATGCGAAAAACAAACAAAAAAATTAAAATTAATTTTAACCGTCGTGAGTGACGTCATACAAAAGGATTTAAAAACAAAATTTACCGGGTATTCTCCTCCCCTCCCCCTCTTCCTCCTCCTCCTCCTACAAATTTTCTTTCGAACCCCCGAATAAATATTTCGTTTTCCCCTCCCTCGCCTGATTTGTATACGTTTAATGTTTTAATCATATTATTATTATTATTATTATTATTACCATCATCATCATAATTATGTCATGAATATTAAAAAGTCGTAAAATAAAAATATAACTATTAAAATAATTTTAACATTTTTTTAACCACGTGAAGTTAATAATAACTTAATAAAAAAAAAAAAAATTTTAGTTTATTTTTTAATAATCGTGGCATTAAATATACATAATTTTTTTTTTTTTTTTGGGCGGCAAAGAGAGAGAGAGAGAGAGAGAGAGAGATTAGGTACGATAAATTTTATTTCTTCTTCTTATTATTATTATTACCATTTTTATTATCTTCGAATGACGTACGATGACGTACGATTATCCATCCATTAAAAAAAAAAAATAATAATAATAATTAATAAAATCAATCAATGCGATGTGTCTCGAGATTCTTTTCACAAAAGCCGAAATTTTAATAATAATAATAATAATAATAATAATAATAATAATAATATGAGCGTAATTACGATCACCATAATAACGAATATTTAAAATATTAAATTAATTTAAAACGGTTCAAATTTTTTTTTTTTTTTCGTAAACATTTACCATTTGCCGGAGGACGTTTTAAAAAGGTAAAAAGGAAAGTGAGGGGGGGAGTGGTAGGGAGACAAAGGAATAGTTAATTTTAAAAAATTTGCACGTGTCTTCGATTAGTAAAACTACAAGGGTTGATAATTAAATAATTTATAATCGAATGGTATCGATCCAACGATCGATCGATCGATTGTTATTTTGTTTTCTCTCTCTCTCTCTCTCTCTCTCTCTCTCTTATCGGCATTCTTCTTAAATATTCAATAACGTTTAAATTAACGGTCGAAACAAACCAAAAAAAAAAAAAAATAATAATAATTTAAAACGAAGGATTAAACTGTAACATAAGTGATATATGTGAAAATGATTTGACGCCAAGGAAGAAACGTTTCCGGAGAGTTTTTTAATGAAGAATTATTATTGCGTTCGCAACACAACTTTAAAAAAAAACTTTTTTTCGAGGGGTCATTGTTTGATAATAAAAAAGCCTTTTTTAGTTTTTATTGTAATTCACGAGTCTCTCTCTTTCTCTCTCTCTCTCTCTCTCTCTCTCTTTTCTTCTTTTGCCGAACACGAAAAATTACAATGGAAATTTTTGGCGTCTTAATAAATTTTTAGATTAACATTTATATATGTATTCCGCGCCGCGTACGTGGCAAACTTTTCGTGTTTTTTTTTTTTTTTTTTCCTTCTTCTCCTATTCGATTCAAAAAGATAAATAAATATCCATTTAAAAAAAAAAAAAAAAAAAAAAAAAAGTTCATGAAAATAATAAAGCGACTTTTGCACTAATGCGAGCGAACAACTCAACGAAAATCTAAAAAAAAAATTTTTTTTTAAAAACAATTTAAAAGATTTTTGTCAACTTAAGTGAAACAACATTCACGTTCTCCATTATTCACTTTCCATTTGTTCTTTTTGTTTTGCCTTTTTAAACTAATCCACGTGCATATTATAAAAATTATTTACCATCATTTGTTATTGATCTATCGGTAAAAACAATGAAAAATATATATTATCGTCTTTTAAATAAATAAATAAATAATAATAATAAAACAAATTCACCGCAGATTTATTCTCTAATGTAACTTAATAATGATATATTACGAAAAACGATTTTCAAAAAAAAAAAAAAAAAAAAAAAATTAATTTTCCATGAGAATTTATTTATTATTTATTTATTTTCAAAATTATTTTTCTTTTATTTTTATTTATCATTTAAATTTTAAAAAATTATTCAAAACCAACAAAGGAAAAAAATTTGGGCATTTTCGACGAGAAAAAAATATTTAAAAAAAACCGGAATGTGAATAAAGCACAAAGAAAAAAAATTTAAATGTGTATCAATTTTTTAAATTTAAATCGATCGACTTTGATCTTTTTTTAATCCGCTAATCTCATTTAATCCAATACAGTATGGATTTAAATGGATTTTCGAAAGATTTTTGTAATTCGATTGTTTCGCACCATTTATACATATACATATAGAGAGAAAGAATATAAAAACAATGCGTCGTAAGTTAATAATAATAATAATAACAGTAATAATAACCTGGCATCTCGTAAAACGAACCGGGAATCGTGGACCTGGATGGTATCACGTGGCATCTGGTATACCGATTGTTTAAAAACTAATTAAATCTTTAATTTTTTTTCTTTTTTTTTTTTTTCTTTAATTAAATTAATTTAATTTTTATTTATATATAATCCGCGGTGAAATATATCATTTCAAAATTATTATTATTATTATTATTATTATTGGAAAAAAAATCGTTTTAAAATTTCTTGATGCAATTAAATTTAAAAAACTATATATGCATTCGAATGAATTTTCGTTAAAAATCTACCGTTTATAAAAAAATTTCCTCGTCTTATTATTTTTATGCAACATGAACGCAATTTAATAATAATAATAATAATGATTATTATTATTATTATTATTCTGATTACGAAACGATGTCATTCATAATTAATAATAATGAATAGTTATTAAACTATTACAAAGGATCGAAGTTGAGAATTACTTTAAAGTTTGCAAAGGGTACTCAACCCAATCAAGAGAACAAAAGGTTCAAATTATTATTAAAATTTAAAATTCAGAAAAAAAAAGAGGTAAAAATAAATCAAACGTGAAAACAAGATTACAACAACAACCGCAACAACAACAACAACAACGACTTCATATTACAAAAAAAAAATAAAAAAATTGATAATATATATTTTTTTTTTTTTAAAACTCAAAAATATGAAAAACATTTCTCGTTTCCCTCTTCTTGTTTTTTTTTTTATTTATATTTATATAAACGAAAATAAAATAAAAAATGCAAAAAAAAAAAAAATTTACATTTTTTATTTATTTAATATCGTTAGGAAGTTTACGAAGCAGAAGACGTAACATTGATCTTTTCCTAACTGTATAAGACGTTTCGAATGAAAAATTAAATGATTTTTTTTTATGGATTTTAAATTAATTCGGATTATTTTTTTTTTTTCCAAAAGATTTAAACAAACGTTTTTTGGATTTACAATGCGAGAATCAAACACGAAAACCTAATCGTATCACGTGACAAAAACGCGACCTTTACCTGTCTTTCATTTCAAATTACACGACGGTTAACACAGATTTTAATAACGTGGCAGAAGAATATTTAACCGATTGACCAAAATAAGAGTGAAAAAGAAGAAGAAGAGGAGGAGGAGGAGGTTAATGTTATTTGAACGCGCTTTTCCTTTTGTCGACCGCCATCACGCTTTACTTTTACACATCTCGAATCGTACCTGAATCGTAAAAAAAATTTCCTTACCTTGCATACTTGATGACGGCATGAGGGGCTTCGGGTGCTTTTATAAATCCCGTTCCTTCTTTTCCAATGAGACAACTCAAATCGAGCTTGGATAAAAAATCTAAATTTTTTTCCAAAATTTGCCCTTCGTAATTTGCACCTCTTCCCTTTTTCTGATGTGCTGCTGCTATTCGTTTACCTACAAGAAAAAAAAAACAAAAAAAATTTATTAGGTTTAATCAGGTTGTTATCTGTCGGTCACTAAACAAGAATTCTTTTCACGGTCATCTGTTGGAATTATGAATTGGTTTGGGTTTTAGAAAAAGGAACCGCGAAAATAAGTTGACAGAATATACCTCCTAGCTCGTGACAATATTTTCAAGTAGTACCTGAAACTTGATTTTTTCTTCTTTTTTTTTTGGAATCACAACGTCATATTTAATGATTCATTTAAAAAAAAAATAAAAAATAAATTTATATTATTATTTTAACTCTTTTTTTGGATTTTTTTTTTCTAAAAAAAAAACCGAAATCGAAATCGTGAATTTCTTGTTTCATGTCAGCAGGCTTTAATACTTTGGACAATGCGGTCGATCGTTTGCCCCCCAATTTTATGTGAAATTTTTAGTTTTTTTTTTTTCCTAAAAAAAAATTTATGAGTTTTTTGGTATTTTTTATATAAAAACAGCACTTTTTCCCGGCATTTTTTTATACCTCCGGCTAAATTTTTTTTTTTTTTTTCCGTTACTTTTTACACAAACATAATGTACAATTCTCGATTGTTTTTATTGTTAATAATTCGCAAATTTTTTAATAAACCCTTAAAGGAAGCCTAATAGTTCTAAATCTCCTACAAAAAAAAAAAATAATAATAATAAAAACGCGCGCGTGTGTAAATTCGTGGAATTTAAAATTTCTAATAAGTTTTTCACGATTTGTTTTTTTTTTTTCTTCTTCTTCTTCTTCTCTTTTATTCCAGTTTTAAATAATTCATAAAAAAAAAAAAAAAAATTTAAATAATTTCAAAGAGTTGTTTTCTTGTTGTTGTTGTAAAAAAAAAAAAAAATTTCGGTCAGTTTAAACATAAAAAAACTTTTTTCTTAGTATTAATGTAACCTTTCGTCTATATTAAACGGCGTTCAATTAAAATGAACCTGAGGGGCATCAAAACAAAAGTTTATTATACTTTCGTGTCCATGCGCGACCGAAAATGAAAAAAAAATAAATAAATAAATAAAATAAAATAAAAAATAAAAGAAACGAATTTCATTGCGTTGATATTAAATAGCAGATACCACTTCATAAATATATATTTTTTTTTTAAAACAATTAAGGTCGAAAAATATTTTGTTATTTTTAGTTAACCTGTGTTAATTTAAAGTTTTCTTTTTTTTTGGGGGGGGGGATTCACATTGCGGTCGGGAATTTTTAAAAATAACCGCCAAAATTAATAATTAATCGATTGACTTCGATTTAATTTCGATACTCGAACCCTTCAATCCCGAAAAAAATAAAAAAAATAATATAAACGAACTATAATTGTTATTTTTAATAATGATGATGATGATGATGATATTAATATTTTGAGTTTCGTGAGCGTGCGCAGAAAGTGTAACGGTCGAAAATAAAAGTTATTATTATTATTATTATTATTTAATTTTTGTTATTTATAGTTTTTAAAACTTTAATAATACCCTCGGAAAAATAATTTATTTTTTAATTTTTTTTTAGTTATTAATCAAAAAAAAAAAAAAAAGTGACTAGAATTTTTTTTTACTATTAAATAATTTGTGGTAGCTTAGTTAAACAAACGACAAACTCATCATTATCATCATCATCATCATTATCAATATCATCATCATTTCCATCTTACCTTTTTTTTTCTTTCCTCCTTTTTTTTTCGTTACACTATTTATTATTTTCGTTACATCAGGAGACATTGAATTCGGGCCGGAAGGTGCATCGTTTTGATCGTATTTTTCATCTTTGTCTTTATTTCTACAAAACAAACAAAAAAAAAAAACAAATTTTATTTTTTCAATTTTTTTTTTTATGAATTTTTTTTCTAATGACGACGATATCGTACCTGATTCGATTTCTATCGTGAGTTGTCGTCGATTTTTGTGACAGTTTAACAACTCCTTTCGATAATACATCTTCATCTGAAACAAACAAAAAAATTTATTTGAATATTATCATCACAATAATGAAAATCAAACTTTCTCAATTTCATTTTTATCTCAACAAACAATATGCAAACACGTGTAAAGTATACAAATAATAAACAAACTGCAAAACCTTAAACCCTTAAACTGTTATTCCATTTCAAATAAATTATGCCTGATGAATGCCCACACACATCATCATTAATAAACATATTATTTTGACCAGGTGATTAAGTAACAATAAAACACACCCCAATGGGAGAAACAAAAACAACAAACCTACAAACAAATACCTTTTCTAGGTATAAACAGCAGTAAAACAATTACAATTGGGGTGGTTGTAGTCAAATCTATACAAACAGTTGCAATCATTAATCAAAGTTAAATATGTAGTAGTGATAAGTACAAAATATACAATAAAACGATTATAAAGTAAATTGCATGGATTTTCAAATCGTTTATTCGATAAGTTCACTAAGAATAACAAACAATAATAATAATAATAAAATCTTCTCATCGCAAGAAGAAACTACGAGGAGTATTCCTCCTAAAAAAAAAAAAATGTCGTGATTTTAAAATTAACCGGTCAATGGTCGTCACGATTAGTTCATAGTAAAAAAAAAAAAAAAAAAAATTTTAGTATCCCGCAATGGAAAACAATTAATAAAAATTTCGTGGAAGATGTCGAGTTATGCATTTTTTTTCTCTCTCTCTCTCTTATAAATAAATTTCATTGAACTAAACTAAAAAAGAAAAAAGCAAAATTTTTCAACTTTCTCTCTCTCTCTTCTTTTTCTTCCCATCTTGAAACTAAAAATTTTCAAAATTTGTAAACTTGATTGATTTTCTTAAAGATTTTATAAAATTTTTTAAATTTTATGACGTCATAAAAAATTCATAAGCTATAATAATGAAAAAAAATTTCATTCAATAATAATAATAATAATGTATAATTAAAATTAAGTTTTATTGTGAAATATCAATTTTTCTTCTGTTGCTGTGAGCCTGTTAAAATAAAGTCTTTTATAACTATTACAGTAGTTATTATTAATTTGTCTAAATAAAAAAAAAAAAAAAAAATTTCTGTTTCATTTACCTAAAAAAAAAACACTGGAAAACAATTAAATTTATTATTATTATTATTATTATTATTATTATTATTATTATTATTATTATAAAGCACACATGTTTTAAAATGTTGTAATTTTTCAACAATTTAAAAAAAAAAAAGGAGTAAATTTCACGTTTAAAGAGCAGAAGGAGGAGGAGGAGGAGGAGGCGTGAGAATTTTTCAATTCATAATAAAATAAAATGCCACAGAATGTTTTAAAACGATATTTATATATATACGAGGATTTAAAAGAGATTAAAATAAATATATTATAGACATAGAGAGAGAAAGAGAGAGAGAGAGAGAGAGAGAGAGAGAGAGACAGAGACAGAGAGAAAAGAACAAAAAATCCCGAGGCAATTTTATATAAAAAAAAAAAAAAAATGAATTATTATAACCATCGCAAAATGATTTCTTCTTGTCTTGTGTGTTTGGCAAAGAAAAAAAAATCGCCCAAAGGGAAAATTTAAAGCCACCACATACAATAAATGATGGATCGACATTATTAATAAATAAAAAAAAGGCGCATGTGCAATTTGGTGGGGAGAAATGGGGGGAAACACGATTTCCTTATTCGTATAAAAACGTTAATCACGTAATTGGATAAATTTAATATAAGAAATTAAATATACTAAAAGGTAAGAAAAAACGTGAACTCGTTTCCTAAAATGTTAAAGTTAGGTTAGAATTATGTAGAATTACCTTTGAGGTAAATTGTTTTTTGTGTTAATCAAAATATTAAAAAATTATGATATTTGATGATGGCTTTTTCTTTTTCTTAACTTTTCTTTTCATAAATACATAACTGAAATGAATTAAGCAATATTATTTAAACAATTCATAATTGTGAACAGATAAACTTCTTTACCTTACCTAATAAATAAAATTGAAAAATAAATTTTTTACTAAAAAGACAAAATTTAAAATATTTTCATTGGTTTGTTTGTTTGTTTTGTTTTGTTTGTTAGTTTTACATGTGATGAACTAAATCTAAAAAAAAAAAATAAATAATTAATTATTTATCAATGAGGTCAGTGAAATTGTCTTAAAAAACCCAAAAATTGTGAGATTATGTTCTTATATGACATATAAAATATATTAAAAGAAATTTGTTTGAATTTGTTGTTTGTTGTTGTTGTCGTTGTGAAAAACTTTAAGTTTAATAATACAATCTAAATAAATAAATAAAGTTCAAAGTTATTTTATTTTAAAAATTGACCCTATTGACATGTCAATTAATTTATGCCTACTACATATTCCTGCTTATTTTTTATAACCGTTTTTATTCCTGTAGGTGTTTCGAGTAGGTTTTTTTTGTTAATAAATATTTCAAAGAGTTAATAATTAACAATTTACCGATTAACAATCCGATTCAATGTCAAAGATATTTTAAAGAAAACAAATCCAAGATTTTTGCATGTGATAAATTAATGCATCGTTTGCACGGACGCCATTTTATTCATTGGTCATTATGAGAGATTAAATGTGAATTCACATCCCTAAACCTCAGATGCATTTTTCCTTTCGAAAAACTAAAAATTATATTATTATTATTAATAACAGTTTGATTCATTTCACTAATCAAATTTTTACCAATTTTAAACATTTTCCCACATCACAAAGTTAAATAATTAATTAATTAATGCATTAAAATTTTTTTCACAAAACTTTTCGCGTTACCAATTTCCGCCATTTTTTTTTTCGGAGACCGAATGTTGCCAAATTTCGCACTCAAAAAATTTGCATACGTGAGGATTAGAGTAATTATAATGGCCGCTCATTTAAAAAACGTAAACGAAATTTTATTAAAATGAATTTGCGATTTTTATTGTTTGAGTGGGGGGGATTCATTTAAAGGGTAGCGAATACGAAACCGGGATTTGATAAGATTGACGGGATTCGAGACACCCCGGGCAAATTTCATAGTATTTTTTTTTTTATTCAGAGAAACTCGAGGCGAATAAGGTGATGAAGTCGGTGTAAAAGGAATCCTTTTGAATTTGACGCGGTCACGTGACTTCCGGTAGAGACATTACCTAAACAAAATACAACGGTTCCTTTCATGATGAATAAATGTTTACATTTCGCAAAATTTTGTCTCCCGGAGAATTAAATGAAATTTTGACAGAGATTTCATCCCCTTTAGAAAGAGGGATGAAATAAATTTTTTTCTCTTTCGTTAATTAAACGATATCACACTCGCAATTCGCAAAAT